TGTTAAGAAGCTATCGAAGTACATAACAGTATTGAGGTGGTCAGTTAATGTTTCAGAAACTAAATGATTGGGAAGTGAGTGAGTATGCTGAATTATTAGCACTTTTTGAGACTCATGAAATAAAAGCTTGTGAGGACAAGGTGGTATGGAAGCTGGAAAAGAGCCGCAATTTTTCTGTGGGGTAGTATAGTATTACAGGCAGCTAGCTGGTGAAAATGAGAGGGTTTTACATAATTTCCCTGCTAAACATATTTGGAAAACAACAGTGACTTCGAGAATTGTTTTTTTCGCTTGGAAAGCTTGTAGAGAAAGTATACTCACTATTGATAAGCTTAGGAAAAATGGCTAGATCATTGTTAATTGTTGTTATCTCTGTTTGAGTGCGAAAGAGTCTTGTAATCACTTACTTCTTTGGTGTCCCATGACATACGAACTTCGGAACACGATCTATGGACTATTGGGAATTAATTGGGTGATCTCAGGGACTGTTTGTGGGGAATTATGGACTTGGGAAGGGATAGGTGTCAAAAGGAAAGTTGCTAATTTGATACCTTTGACCATTTTTTGGGTTATTTGGAAAGAGAGAAATGTTAGAGCCTTTGAAGGCAAAACCTTAGACTTGTATAAATTAAGAGAAAGATGGATTCATTATTTTGAAACTAATATGTTAAGTCATGATATTATTAATGATGAGGATTTTGATAATAGCATTGGAACTCTAACTACACTGTAAATTTATACATGGGCGGTACCCGTTTTTTGGTACCTTATTAATATATACTTTACACTTCTTATTTCAAAACAAAAAATAGTTTCTAGGTTGTGGGAGATAAATGTGAAGCCAATTTCTAGAATGTAGGGGAAATTACTTCCAACTAGGAAAGCTGTTGTTCTTATAACAGAATAGTTAATCTGAAAAAAATATACTAGAAAAAATTTGTCAAAAAGGTTCTTAAGTGCTTTAAACTCTAAAAGATCGTCGAGTTTCTCTTTTAACAAACTCCTACTACTAATCTATCCCATAACTAGATCCTCTGTGACTACAAAGGATAGATGTCGCAAAGATACACACGCGTATATGGAAACATAATAGGCACTTTAAGCAGCTATTCCATGTAAAAGGATATAAAACAACCATGTGATTCAACTAACATAATACAAGTAACAGACAACTAAGAGAAAAGTCCCAGATAATTCACTCTTACCTTCTCAGGTTCAGGTGGTGCACAACTCATGCAAGCTACACCACCAAAATCCAGTACATTACACATATATGCCGACATAATACATCCACAGTGAATCGGCTGGGGAGGAAAATGAAACATCAGTGTATAAACTATAAATAGGAGCTAGAAGCTACTACTACAGTTGTGAAATTTTTGTTCTGTGCAATAAGAGAAAAGTTCATTTACCGTCTTGCAAAAAGCACATTCTCTCCAGCCACTGGCATCTTTGTGAAAAGTTTTGCAGAAATTTCCCGTATCATAAGCACAACTGGACACCCAAAAAAGTCATGTAAATTAATCATAAAACCTCCAAAGAAGAATGAAGGTTTAATCTTTCTTAAAATGCAATATACTATGAAGGCAACACAATATGCATAAGTTAAAAAAAAAAGGAGTACTTTTAGCTCTTAATCCCAGCAACTCCTCCAAAAAGAAAACCTAAAATATTTTAACTTATTCATATATGTTTTTGATGTTAGGATCACTCCAGAAATAAAATAAGCTTTTATTGAATTAAACTAAGACTATTTCAACCACAATTCATGAGATGCCTTGAAGATTTCTTATAAGAAAACCTATCAACAATCTGCAGGAAGTACACAGTAGACCATTAACACCCCCCAACTCAAGGGAAAAATAGAAGAAAGTAACCTAAAACTACAGAGTTAATACTTGAATCCCTATGTCAAGCAAGAAGCACCAGAATCACAAGTCTTTAATAACAAAAATTGTCAGGCATTATCAACAGCCCCAAGCCTCTTGCACTGACGATGAAAACATCAGAGAAAGCAAAAAGACATAAATAGTGGTTATAATCTACATTTAAACTTTTTTCGGACATATTGGCTTGCCAACTTATTTTCTAGTGGGGCAATAATGGAACCAATAAGAAAGAGAAAAAACATTATTACACCACATAACATTAAAAACCACCAAATAACTATCATTACCGGGGAAGGTATGAAGACAGACCCATCAAAAATTGAAGTCATTCCCTCCTGGCTGAGGCCAACCACAGTTAAAGAACTAAGGGTTTTCTGGGATTTACTCGCTATTACTATGGAACTACCAGCCAATCCTGACAGAGTTGCTCAAGAAAGATGCCTTCTAATGGAATGAGCAAGGCAAGGAAGCCTTCCAAAACCTCAAGACAGCGATGACCAGTGCCCCTCTTCTCGCCCTACCACATTTCATAGAGACCTTTGTGGTGGAGGCAGATGCTTGCAAGACAATAATATGAGCAATCCTGTTGCAAAAGCGAGTGAAACCAATAGCCTTTTCGAGCAAGTCATTGAGCCCCAAAAACCATGTATTATCCATGTATGAGAAGAATTGCTTGCAATCCTCATGGCAGTCACAAAGTGGGGGCATTATCTTCAAGGGAGTGAGTTCATCATCAAGACCCTACCAACAAAGTATCAAACATCTCTTAGAGCAATGAGTCCAAACCTTTATGCAGGTCAACAGCATTGTGAAATTGATGGGGTTCAAGTACAAGATTGTGTACAAAAAGGGAACAAAAGACAAAGCCGCAGATGCCCTATCCAGAAGAAATGCAAGTGAAGGAGGGAAACTGTGCATGGTTGTCTCGGCAGTTGTCCCTGTTTGGATGCAGGAAATTCAACAATCCTACCAAGGGGACAAATGGTTCAGACCCTCCTATGCGACCTGATAATGGCTCTTTCTTTCTAAGGTCCTTTCAAATGCCAGCAAGGAGCACTGAGGTATAAGGGTCACCTACTCATAGGGGAGAAAAAACGACTGAGAGAGCAGCTACTTAGACACCATTATGCTCTCCCTTAAGAATGCATTCGGAAGTAAAGGCACCTACAACAAGTTAAAGCAAGGATCCTACTGGCCTAAAATGAAGCAACAGGTAAAAGAACGAATAAGAAAGTTTGGAGTATTTTAAAGGTACAAAAAGGAGAATATAGCTTACCCATGATTGCTTCAACCTCTCAATATTCCCAATAAGGCTTGGACTCAAATAATAATAATTTTAAACAGCACTTATCCAAGTCAGAAAGCAAGAATACCATTCTAATTGTGGTATATCGGTTTACCAAGTACGGTCACTTCCTAGCTTTTTCACACCTTTTCACCACTCAAAACATCACTCTGATTTTTCTAGATCATGTCTATAAGCTCCACAAAGTACCAAGGTCCACTGTCACCGACAGAGAAAAGGTCTTTATGTGTCAATTTTGGCAAGAATTGATGAAGATGACGGGAACTAGACTCTAGTACAGCTAAGCCCACCACCCACAAACTGATGAGTAGACAGAGAGGATCAACCAATGTATTGAAGGCTATCTATGGTGCATGGCTTCTAATAAGCCTAAGGCATGGTCAAAATGAGTAGGGCTTGTTGAGTGATAGTATAATAAATCCTACCAGCAAGCTTAAAAATGCCACCTTTCATGGCCTCATACAGATACCCTCCTCCACTAGTCATCGAGAGCAAAAGCAGAGACGCCAGGATGGCTAAGCTTGAGGAATGGCTGGAAGACAGGCAAGTAATGAATCGAATGCTTAGGGAACAACTCATGGACTCGTAGAAATGCATGAAGTTTATTGTGGATAACAAGAGGATCGAGAGATAATTTAAGAAAGGGGAGTGCAAGCTATTAAATTCGCAACCCTATTGTCAGTCCAGTATCTCAGTTCAAAAGTGTTTCAAGCTGGCACTTAAATTCTATGCGCCTTTTCAGGTGATACCGAAAATCAATACAGTAGACTACAAGCTGAAGCTGCCTCAAAAAGCCAGGATCCACTATGTATGCTATGTGTCCCAGTTAAAGAAATATGAAGAAGACAGCAATCCTGAAGGTAGCTTCCTGCCAATCATGGAGTTAAGGTCGAGCCTGAATAAATTCTGCAGAAACAGGTCATTATCCACAAGGGAAGAGAAGTCAAGCAAGTGCTAGTAAAATGGCTCATACCTGGGAAGACTAGAACTTCCTCAAGGGGCAATTCCCTCTCATCCACCTTGAGGAGTGGGAATTTCAAGAATAAAGAGAAAAAGGTAGGGTAACTTAGGAATATTGCTGTAAGAATTATGCTGGGAATATCCAAGCCAGCTCATAGGACAGCTGGCAGTGTAATGCTCTCACTTATGGTGGTCTGTCCTTGTGCCAACAATTGGCACTATAGATATGTACGTAGGAATTCAGGAAGAATCAATGAAAAATCTAGTCATTCCTCATATTCTCTCATTCTTCCCCTTTTGTCTCTTCTCCCAACCTCCCTTCTCTCCCCTTTAGCTTTCGTTCGGCCCATGGCTAAATCCTAATGATCCAAGAGCCTGACAGGTTAGTGGTGGACAGAAAATCTACCACAAATTATTACATATTCTTTGGGGATAACCTGATTATCTAGAGAAGTAAGAAGCAAATATAATTGCAAGATCAAATACAGAATCAGAGTTTCAAACAATGGTCCAAGGGTATCTGAATTACTATCGTCAACAAAAAAAAGTTTAGAAGATCTAAGAATCAAGTGGGAGAGCCGTATGTGTCTATACTGTGACAGCAAATCAGTAATATGCATTGAATACAATCCAGTACAATATGCCTAGACCAAACATATCAAAGTCAACATATATTATCATTAAAGAGAAACTCGAAAAAGCCCCAATATACACTCTATACGTGTCTACCAGTTCACAACTAGCAGATGTGTTAGTCAAAAGCTTAAACAGTTCAGCATTCCAGACTATCACTAGTAAGTTAGGGATAGACAATATCTATTCCCAATTTGAAGAGTGTTAAAAAGAATGTATTATATATACATTAGGTTAAAAGCCATTAAAGTAAAATACACCTCATATAATTAATTGATTATTTTTTTCTACTCTATAAAATCTATATAATACGGCTGTAATATTCAATAAAACACATACTCAACCATTCTTAATTGTCCAGCCTTTTTTCTTTTTGCAATCCAAGAAGTGATACAGAATTCATAAATAGGACAACTGTTTACATCTGACCACCAATAAATTTCAATTTTATCAAGTAATACAGATGACAGTAGTCCACACCTCTCATTAATTATTGATATCTATCTACGTGGTATCCTTTCACTATGCTAGAAGAATAAAGATTGTTCTTCTTGTTAGAATATTCATTTACAGGAATATCGACAAACAAGAGAAGGAAAACTAAGAATAGAATTGAACTAAACATGACATTAACTACCGCTAGAACATTTTAGCTACAAAAGAAGCCACAAAGTGAATGTCCAAAAACCGCTAAAAGCTCTAGAGATTTCAGCTGAAAAAAGAAGCTCTTAAGACCAGCTATCTTTTGGAGCTTTTGGCAGGTAGCATTAAATAATGTTTTAACTAAAAGAATAACTAGTTTTCCTTTTTAGTCATCTAACTAGACTTTCAGCTTAAAGCTCGTTATAGAACAATCATTTAACAGTTCCTTAAGTCTAAAAGGTAAGAGAATAAGTAAGGTGACCTAAATACAATTCAAGATTAAATCACTATAAGCTTAAATTCATTAGTACTAAAAGCTATATGAGCTTAAATCACTAAAAGAAAAAGTCAACCTAAATGACCTCTAAATATTAAATCAGCTCCTGAAATCATAGAGATAAATGGAAATGAAGATCTCCGAATCCAATGAGCAAACCCATGCATTCCAGAGGAGGAAAAATGATTAGCCAGACTGTCCAAACCCCCTCACTATGTATTCTTTACTACTCTGCTAAATTCTGTTTATTATCTTTAACGAATTATTGAAGGGAGTGTAAACTGTAGAGGAAGAGATTCTATACATGAAAGTTTAGGAGAATCATTCATTTAGTACTCAAATCTGGAACCAACATTAATTACTGATAAAGCATTATTAGGAGTGGAATGAAAACAATACTGTTTTGATATTGGAACAGAAAAAAATAAGATCATCTTGCCACAAAGTATAAACAGCAAAACCACATTTTACCAGAATATGGTTTTCAAAAAAAAGATTTTGCCAACTTTTTCATGAAGGCAAGAATTTTTAGGGACACAAAGAAGTTAGTGATGCAAGACTGAAATTGAGGCCCAGATTGAGACAGTAGACAGACTGTCACTAGAAGTAGAAATCGTTTTAACATGCAGACACAACAAAGATCACCACACTGCAAACTATAAATGGCAGAATACTGTGTTTCATTTACAAGTGCAGTGAAAATGTTGTTTTAACATGGCAAGAGACAATAGATCATCTCACAAAAAAAAAAAAAGAACTATAAATGGAAAACGATAAATGGAAAACAATAAATGGACAACAAGATCACGTTTTCTACTGATAAAAATACAAATAGTCCATATCAGCCTAGCAGATCTAAACTAGATGCATTAACACCTAGATAAGCCATACTAAAGCATTCAATCACATGTATGCCTTACTAAAATTTAAAGCTAATAAGCTAAAAAGTCTTAAGTGGTAACTTTTTTATATAGAAAAATATAATAGCATTAGGGTGGAAAAAATGTACAACGGCTGAGGAATTGTTGTCCTCCCAAAAAGAAGAAAAAAACTAAAAGAATAAGGAAAAAGAAAGACCTGGGAAACAAACAACTCAATAAAGAATAGCCGGTCAATCTTGACAGAAAAGATAAAAAAAATATCCTTATAGAAGACAAGAGTCTTAGCCCAAAGAAATAATATTATTTTGATAGTTAGAATAATACAGTTTGCTAGAGTTAGAATGAAAATGATCCCATTTTGTTATTTTAAGAAGCAACAAGATCATCTCAATGCAAACTATATATAGAAAAATATTTAAGGGTAATGTTTGGGGATGAAACTATAACATTGTCAATAGTACGATTTAAAATTTTGAGACCATTCACATAGTTGTCATATTGCCAATAGAATCAGAGATATGCTTACTGACATTTTTTCTTTTCTGCCCCTCAATGTGGCTTCCAAAGGAAACTGGTATTTCAAAGTATTTAGTTTCTTTGAGTGCTAAACAATCCTTCACATATCTTATGTTATCTAATGTTCTCTATATTAAGAGTATTCATTTTTTTATATTTTAAAATTTTTTTGCTAAAAGAAATGATGAGTTCATATTTTCAGGAAAAAAAAAAAAACTAAGACATTATAAAGAAGGCACCAATATGTATACCCATCGAGGAAGACCCCAACTATACGTTGGCAGACAGAAGAAAGAGCATCACATCAATGAGTCTTTCTCTTTCTGTTACTTACAATGGTCTATGAAAGTCATTAGTTCGTGAAATTAATTAATTACGCTCCTTAATGATTCTTTTTCTTCTTGTTACTTACAATGGCTTCATGAAACTCATTAGTCCATGTTGTTCCTAGTTTAAGCTTATGTTTGGACGAAAATCAGTTCATTTATAGAGAAAATTGGAACAAATTGACATCCTATAATTCTAAGCATATTGAAAAGATAGACTCCAAATTCTACCCTTCTTCTTCCGTAAACTACTCTTTCCTCCAGAGAAAATTAGTAATTCCGTCTCCTCTTTCTCTCTAAATTATGAAATCGTAAATCAAAGCCAAATTTAAGAACCTAATCCATATAAGTGAAAGGCATACCCTGAAGCTAAGTCGACGAGTTCATCTTCAAACCGTCAAGAGCTGAAACACGAACGACTAGGATTGCAAAAGCGAGATGTGATAGGTTTTAAAAGGGGGAGTAGCTCTACTTAGCGTTAAAACCTCGGCAAGATATGCAGCTATTCAACGCCGCAGAACTCAGCGGTGAAATGACACGCTCATCGTGGCTGGATGATGCCGCAATTGCGCAACCCAGCCAAAGGTGATATTTCAAATTTCGAAAAAAGAAAAAAAAAAAAAAACATCTGCAAACTTTGCACCAGAAGAAAGCTGAATTTCATTCTTCTTTTCGTGTAAGTAAAGCATAAGGCTGAGTTAACTCAACTCGAATCCGGAATATTACGGTGTAGATGGAAGAAGAAGGACGTGCGAGAGAAGACAGGCTTTGAATTAGGAGGGAAAGAGAGCAGTGAAGCTCCGAATCTGCAAAAGCAGAAGGAAGTGGGACGGGGACCACATAAAGCATTGTCAAATTTTTATTTTATTTATATTCCTATTATGAATATATATATATATAAAATAATGTTATATAATTGTATTTTTTATCTTATTAATTAATTGATTTTATAAGTATATTAATATATTTATAATACATTAGTACTACTTTAGGATAATTATGTTAATTTAATTCACATTAATAAATTAGTAATATATTAGTTTTATCATTCTATATTATTATTATTTTCATAAGTATTTTATAATTTTGTTATGTACTAATTCTATTAAAATTTTAATAATATTATTAGTACTAGGTTTAGGATAATTATATTATTTTTACATAATACTATCACTATCTAGAAACTATTTTATTATAATACTATTAATATTTCAAAAATCATAAATATTATTTTAAATTATTAATAAATTATGTTAAAATAATATTATTATCAGTCTACAGAACTAATCATCTTCAACTTTCCAACTGATGCAGTACTGAAAGTGAAAATCTCAAGTTCAAGTCCTGTTAATCAGACGACCAAAAATTAAGGCATGCAAGTCTCAGACAATGGGGACGTATACAAAAACAGATCTACCAATATCGAAACGTTTCACACATTAAAAAACCAGACATGTCTACTGTATCTCACTAGCAGAATTTTAGCACCTCTTCTCACGTAAAGAGATCAGGAATATGTATATATCTACGTATCTCTGTGTGTGTGTGTGTATCATGAGTTCATGACGAAAAACAAACACTGAAACACTATGATATCAAATCCATTGATGACAAAGCCTTCAACCAAACAGTATTGATCATGAAGAATCTGATATACGCACGCAGATATATATATGTGTGTGTGTGTGTGTGTGTGTATGACGAAAAACGTATGGATCTTTAAATTAAAAAAAAAAAAACACGAAGAGCGATCAGATTAAAAGAAATGATTGATCGACGTTAAAAAATGAGAGATCGAAAGGAAGGCTTACGCGCATTCAGCGCACAGCATACAGAAGCTCCCATCCCGGATTTCCCAACCCAGGTACAAGCGAGGAGCGAGAGACTTGCAGTAGTCGCAGAACTTTGTCTCCGAGGACGACATGGCGGATGAAAGCTTGGTTTCGGAGGATGAAACATCTGAACGATCAGCCATTGGAAAAAACCTTTGGTGATTGACCCGAAGAGGAAGAAGAAGAAGACTGGCGAGAGAACAGAGAGAACGAGAAGCCGATCGAAAGGGAGAGAGCGCAGGAAGAAGACAGCTTTTGACGAAGTGAGAAGAAGGTCCGTTTGGCAATCATACGAGAATTTATAGTGAAAGGCTTGTACGGCCACACGGAATGAAGAAGATACGAGGAATTATAACATGTTGTTGCTCACATATTACTTTTGATGTGCTACATATTACTTCCCTATTATTCCAATGGTTGAGATTACGAGGCTATACGATCCGACGGCTGTGGCTATTCTGCATACTCATAAACACTATCTTATCTCAAAATGACAAGAAGAAAAAGGAGGGTTAGCCATTAAGAGATTTGTGAGCTATCATTCCTTATGTGATTAGGTTTATATGGTTAGTATAGATTAAATGAATTTGAGCTGGTCATTATTACATGTATTTTTATAATTTTATTAATTTGAATTGAATATCATAAAAATTGTATGAGTTAATAGTAATAAAAAATAATTTTAATACGTAATTATTATTTATCGAGCTATTAATCACTTCAATCAATAGTAATGATATGAACTCATAATATTTTCAAAAAATATTAATGTAACTATTAATTACTCTGACTATTTAGTTATTAATATAGCAAAATTTTTAAATTTATTATTACAAAATTATAACAAAAAATAAATAAATTATATTCTTAAATCATGCGAAGGACGTCGTTTTGACGTAATAGTAATTAACTACATGATAAGTGTGTGCGCGTGTGTGTGTGTGTATGGAAGTTACATTCTTTTAATTTTCAAGTTAAATTTAGATTGTGTTTTTATTCGTATTTATGTAGTAGTAAATAAATTATTTAAAATCTTTAAAAAATATTACAATGACGATTAAATTAATACTATAAAGTGTTAGAGTATATTACTATATGAGTTTAACCTTATAAGGTTTTGAGAGAAAATGAAATTCTAAAACATTATAGTCGTAAAATTTTTATAAAAATAAATCTACATATTCATGCAAATAATGAAATCATAGTATGACTATATGTGAATATGAGAGTTATATATTATTTCTAGATCGACAACTATTGATTATCACTAGTTACTTACGGTGAGGGGTTATTAATTTTCGACATTTAATAGAAACTTCTATAATATTTTACATTATGTATAATATGTTAAACTCGACATAAATTTAAAATATTCCTATATGATCACAAGGTTGCAGTATAAAATTCGACTATACAAGAGATATTGACAAATTATTCCACTTTGTTTTTTTAAAAAATGCATCAATCATCATGATTATTGCTTAATCTCTACTATCAATCGATCAAAAGCAATTTCATGTTTTCTTTGTATTTAAAAAAAGTATTTATAGTAATTAAATAAATGGTCCGCATCATAGTTTATGAAAAACAAACGATAAAATTATCATAAAAATAATATATGAAAAATCTATGTATTATTATAAAATATTCAAATTTATCCATGCACATTTTTTCAATTCAAATACAACTCGAATTTTTATATTTTATTTGAATAAGTCATTACGAGTAATGACATGTCTAACATCGTTAAACAAACACTCATATATAAAACATGTTTATGTAAACATTAAGTTTTAAAATTGATTATAGTGCGGCAATCAAGTCGCCACCATACTGGCAACAACTTTTTTTTTTCATAATTATTTTTGTTATCTATAAAGAGTTATAAATTAAACATAAATTTATAAAAAATCAACAAAAATATGTAAAATTCTAAAAAAAAAAAAATTATGACAATGTCGATCTAATTTTTTTCACATTCGTTTAAATACTATCGCTTAATTTAACAATACTTAAAAATACAACAACGAGCAAACTAGTATTGGAGAAATTACTGATTATAAATGGTGCAATAGTCGGGTGAAGATTTGTTTCGATTTTTGTTTAAGAATATTATTTGTGAATTTAATGAAAGTATTAAAAAATATGATTATGTCGTAAGAACGACACCGTTTTTAGCAATGCTCAAATCAACAGAGAGGCCCAAAGGGGGTGCTGATCGAAGTTGGGTTGATATGGGCTCTGAAGCTGAAACTAAGATTCCAAAGGCCGAAAGCGGATCTCCCACTTCGTATAAAATCCAATACTAGGGTTTTAGTATTGGATTCTTCTTTCCTCCCCCTGTTCTGAGTGTCTTCCAGCCATGGCGAAGAAACGAAACAAGAAGAGCAATGGTGCCGTTCGCATGGATTTCACCGAGCCCACCGTTTCGGATGTTCAGCAAGGTACACGTAGCTCTTTTGGTGTTCATTCATGTTGAAATTGTTTTATCTTCTGCGGTTCTGACTCTGTTTGGCCGGGGAGTTGAAAGCAGATTGAAGAAAATAAAAGAAGTTTTGATTATCCCCTTATTTTCATTGATTTGTTGCAGCTTATGTTTGACCATATATGTTCTGTATGCAGCTATGGACACGTCGGAGTCTGGAGCTTCGAAGTTAGATTCCAGTGCTCTCAACAGGTCAGTGTCGAAAAAGCTGAGTAACTCTTATTTATTCATCTTTATTTTCTGTTCTTACTTATTACCGCAAATGCCTCTCTTTTTGTGGCTAGCAAAAGGTCTATCAGGTCTCATTTTGTTCAGTTCAATTTTATTATTTATTCTTTTACTTATCGTATCAATCTTAATAGAATTATATCATAATTCAAATTTGAATAATTTCTGCTCCTTTGTTCTTTGGTCATTATTATTGGTGAATATCCATGTCTTATTGTTCCCAACCCTTGTGTTTGGGAGCCAAATTTTTGAGTAGGTGAAGGTATAATAAAGTATAGTGTCTGATAACAGGGCTCATATGAAGGGATATATTGTCATATTTAGCAAAATCTGACTTCAGTCTTTTCAACCAAACAATATAGGGGTAAAAGCTCTTCCTTATCTTCTTTATTATTTGGACTCCCAGGTAAGGGCTGGATTACTAGCCATATTTTACTACTGTACCTATCTAAACTTTGTAACTCCTACTATACTTTCTTCCTTAAACTTCATATGTTGTATTAAAAGTGTTAGCACAATGATTAGCCCCTCAAGTAAAAATCAAATATAAAATGAACTTTTAAATTTTGTTCACAAAGAACATTAGTGGAAAAGCAAAATAAA